CTCGCGGCCCGGAGCCTGAGCCTATGGAAGTGGAAGAGGGGGAGCTGGAGGCCATCCCTGTGAGGCGCTCGCTCCGGGAGCTCATTCCGGTGAGGGGCGTGCGGTGGGGTCACGGGCAGGGGGGACGAAGGAGGGACCGGCTCCTGAGGGGGGGCGAGGATGGCGGGGGTCTGTAAGGGCAACTGGAGGTACCTTGGTGGGAAAAGGGGCGACACGGGGCGGGAGGTGCATGAGGGGAAGCGATGGGGTGAGGGTGGTGAGGAGTGGGGCCATGGGGGGACTTGGAGGTGTCTGAGGGGAGCTTGGGGGCAGATTGTGAGAGGAAGCGGCCAGGATGTGCTTGGGAACGAAGGGTGGTGGGGTGGTGGAAAAGAGGATTTGGGGTGTAGCGATGGACTGTAGAGGAAAGCTGTGGATGGGAGAGTGTAAAAGGAGTGCTTAGTCCAAGGAATACAGGGGATACCTTAAGCAGGGAGGTGACTGGGAGCACCGAGTCAGAGGTGCTGGGCATGTGGGCTCTGATGGGTGGGTTTTGAAGGTTTTCTGACTCACCCCCCCCTCACCCCCCGTCGTTTTTGCTAATTGTTCTTGTGTAAGTTTTAGCAAGATCAGGTTTGATACATAAAAATGGGTCAGCGTTCTTCTAACCTCATAAGTAGTCTTTTGCTCTCAAAACTTCTGTGGAAATTACTTTAGAAACTAATCTCTAATTAGCTGGTTTACTAACATGCTTGAGCTTCTACCAAACAGCACCCTACTGTACTTCCCTGTGCTCCATGAGTCAGCCTCAGACAGTGGGGGTTTTTAACTTGAAAAATAATGTTTATTTGGCTTTACTTTTTCTTTTTAATAGCTTTGAACATTTGGTAGCTTTAGACAAACTTTGATGCCATTACTAAGAAAAGCAGTTAGATTGTGTGTACTTTGGTATTTCTAAACTGAGACTGGCCTACTTTCTAGAAAAAGCTCTTTAGCCAAAATAATTATTGCAGCACAAGTGTAAAGAACACGTTTACTCCTAAAGAAAGCAAGACATGTTCTTCCAGCTCCAAACTGTTGCCAGGTGATGGTCCTGAGGGTGCCAGAATGAAGAGGTGCCATTTTTACATATGCAAAGAGTGGAAGGGGCAAAATTGGGTCATTGGTCCAGGGTCTGTGTGGTTTAGTGCAGTCTTGTGAATTCACCAGTCCTGACTGATGGACATGAAACTTGTAACTTTTTCCCACATCATTCTCCATTTTTACTCTTTATTAGTAGGGTTGTATCAAAACAGGTTGTATCAATATTTCATAGTGGGAAGTTGGGTTTGAAATGATGATAGGAGTAAAAGTTACTTGTTTAATTGTGGGTATGGCTTGGTGTTCTGACTTGAGACTAAAAGCTGCAAATTGACACTTCAAGAGTCAGGTATCACTGTTAAATCTGTTCACGTTTTCAAGGAAATTATACCCAAAACCAAAATTGTGGATGTTTCAGTTAGGAAAGGTGTTTGGTGACTTCCTCTGTATTGCTGAGAGAGAAAGTAAAAACCTTAGCAGCAGCAGACACAGAAACTAAATTTTACCAATGGAAAGAATCCTTATAGTAAAGGAAGTTTGGTTCAGTTCAAAAGCTTTGACTTTCACTGGCATCAGTGAGAGTTATTGCTTGTGTACCTGTCTATCTAGGGATGTAGCTAGGAGTAAGGACCAAGGAAAGGGGGATGTATTTATTGTAGAAATGGCCAGATTTTTTTTCAGCCTAGCAAGTTTGTTGCTTTTGGTGTTCATTGAGATTTCACCACCATTTTGCTTTGTTTCAGGACACTAGTAGGAGATATGAAAATAAAGCTGGAAGTTTCATTACTGGAATAGATGTAACCTCCAAGGTAATTTTTGTGCTGTGTTTCTTCAGTGTGTTCTTATTATTGCTACTGGAAGGGAGGAACGGTTTCATTTATTTCTTCCCCAACATTGCATAGAAGCTTAGCCTCCTGTTCAGATAGCTGGCATTTTTCAACAGCTAGGGAATTCTCCTTTTCTGGGTTGTGGTCTGCATCAGGACCTGATACCTCTTGTAAACTGTGAGAATTAGCATTTTTAAGTTACAAAAATTTGTGTGCCAAAACCTGAAGATGTTACTATTGAAATTGCCTTGGTGCCACTCGATATTGCAAAACAAAGGCCTCTGAGACAAGTCAGCTGTGGGTTTTCCTCTCAATTGAGTAACAGAAGGAAGAACAAGTGCTTGGCAGGAAAATCTAGTTTCGTTGCCTTGTATCTTCCAAGGGCATCTTATTGTTTAATTATTTAAGACATAGTTTGGAGAATGTGAACAGCTGTTGCATTTAAATAACTTAAAGTTACATAATTCTGCGGAACTGAGAAATTTAATCCTACAGCTCATGTCTGTAGGAGAACAACTGAATTGGCTGTTGTTTCATATTGTACAGTTGACCACTATATCTAGCATTTGGTAGTGGAGAAAAAGCATTTAGTCTTATACTTTATAGGACTGACACAATTTTACGTGTTCTAACAAATATGAATCCCCACAACGGTGTGTTCACAAGTGACATGAATTCCCATTTTGCATTACTGAAGTTCAGAAGATTGTGCATACCAAAAAGTACAAAAAGGATTCCAGATGAAGACTGAAAATCAGCTTTTTGGCTTCAATATCTAGCTTGTGTGTACTGTAATTCAGTAAAGAATTTGAAGTTCCCCTAGTCAGGGGGAAAGCTGTCATCTTCTGCTATGTTCTTTATGATGCAGCTCTGAAAAATGTTAAGAAATGTGTCTAAAGATGTTTTGGCAATCTTTAAAAACTAGTAAAAAGCCCATATTTATTTGGATATCATTGGTAGCAGTTTTTGCTTAATCACAGTCTGTGTTCCAAATTTGACTTTGGTTAGTAACATCCAAAAATCTATAATGCTTCCTAATAAATTCTGTAGAATAAGGAGCTTCTCAATCAGTTTAAAAAAATGCTCAAGATCCACAGAAGCTGTTGCTCATGTGCTACTTAAAAGCAGCTTGAATTGCCAGTCTAAGTAAGATCTCTATAGTCAGCACTCCAGCTAGTGTTGTTAAATTCATGCTCAGATACACAAGTTTACATTTTTGTATATATTTAAAAAACAGGTAGGGGAAAACCTCTTAAAGACTAATTTTCCATGTGTTAGAAATGCTTCTTTTAAGAGATTTTTTTTTGAACACGGCCTCTACATTTGTTAGGAAGGAAAGGATGATGCTACTGTTCCATCATGGAGTCTGAACATTGTCTGAGGTAGCTTGTTTTCCATGCATCTTGATACCCATTGTGTTGCCAGGCCTACATTAAAACTGTTACGTGGCACAGAAATGTTTCAATTAATTACTTCTGCATTCTGAAACATACAGGTCTCTTTAGAATTAATAGAATTATTAATGTAGATTGCTGCTGTCTGGTAAATTTTATTTTAAATCTCTTGTTGGGAATGCTGCTGTAATTCCTGTTTTGACTGCATTGTTTTGCATTTTGCAGGAAGCAATTGAGAAAAAAGAACAAAGAGCAAAACGCTTTCATTTTCGAGCTGAAGTGAATCTCGCCCAAAGGAATGTGGCACTGGATCGGGACATGATGAAGAAAGGTACAAGTTTATCCAAGAGTCAAGAAGAAAAGATCCCTTTGTTTACTTCCTCACAGTTCCCTTACTTGATTTATCCTATAATATTTCCTGCATCCCAAAGGTTTCTCCAGATCATTGCCAAAAGAAATCACTTTAGTTTGGTTTTTTTCACGTACTTGTTTTAATTTCACTACTTTTTAAGCTACTTGACAGTTATCATTTCGCTCCTCTTTTTACCAACCCCAGAAAGAAGAAAACACTTTTTGTGTACCTGATTTACTGTTTGGCAATGGCACCTAGTGACCAAGATGACCAAGGTTCATCTTCTGGATCAGTGCTGCTTTCAGAATCTTTGCATTCTTTGAAAAGACCTTGGTCACTGTTTGTGCATGAGCAGAGGACTCTGTGTCCTATGCACAGTGAGGTCATATTCTGTGCTGTATGCACAGTGAAGCTGGACTGATTGCGCATGTGCTCTTAGATGGCAAGCTGGGCATGTTGGAATATAAGCAGATCAGCCAGGAGGTGTGTGCACAACAGATTGGCGCTTTTGGCATCCAGTTGGTTCTCAAGGCTTTTTTTTCCAACTGGCAGCTTGGACCCACTAAGCCGTGGCCTGTAACAGCTCTCTGTCAGATGATACAAGTGGAAGTGCTTTGTACACACGTCCTGGTCACAGGCCTCGTTAGTATTCTAGCTCTTTAGTACTTAATGGTAGTACTTTGGCAGCATAAAAAAAAAGGTTTGATTGCTGTGCAGTACCTGCATCTACCAATGCTCGTAATGTTACCTCTTTTTAATTCTCAATTTATTAAAAGTTTTGCATTGTGGAATAATAATTCAAGTTATGGTGTTTTAGAATGGTGTATGTCATACTGCTTTAATTAGCTTCCCTTTAGCTTAATTAAAATGTTTGCTTTATAAGCCCCTATGTTACTAATATAAAAGCTTGCTCTATAGAAATAAGTACCACTTTTGTATCTCTTCCTCTTCATAGCAATTCCTAAAGTGAGACTGGACACAATTTACATTTGTGGGGTGGATGAGATGAGTACACAAGACATCTTTGCCTATTTCAAAGAGTATCCTCCTGCTCATATTGAATGGTTAGATGATACATCATGTAAGTAAACAGTATCTTGTCTGTAGTTCTTACTCTTTTCTTTATTATCTTATTTATTTATTTATTTTTATTTCGGTCATAGCTGTACCTCAGATGTCTTAGTGGCTTTCAAAGTCACCGATCTTTGTCTCAGTTTCCCTGTCATTTGCCTAGTCAAAAGGGATTTAGAATGAAAAAATTAATAACATACAGTGAAAATCAAACCCACGATCTGATTGAGTATATGTTATTGGAAAGAGATGGCATAGAATAACTTGCAGGTCTCTTAAGTGGAGAAAATAAAAGGTCTAAAATTCTGTGCTGCTTTCACCTTGACATAAGTAGTATACCTGCTTGTGAGTGTCACAGAGGTGACATTCTGAGATTATGGAGCTGTGTGCAGTTAGGCAGGTTGGTGTGGTTTTGTGCTGTGAAGGAACAGACTTGTTGCCATATTTGTTTAGTGTATTCTCTAGGAGAAATTTGTGGGTGGAAGAAGCTAGCAGCTGAATGTGATTTACATAGATTGGAAAGGAATGTAAATTTACATTGCAAGGGCTGTTTTGGGGAGTAAGCATGCAGTGAGATTGCCAGAAAGATATAAGGTTGTTGACAGTCATACTTTCTTCAGTGATACTAAAGACTGTACAAGAGCTGTTTGCTACAGTTGGGCGCTGGATCATGGAACTGGAAGGCTCTGAGATTGTCATGTGGCTAGAAATCCTGTAACTGAAATCATAGAAAAAGAAGGAGGAGGCGGTGCAGGTTTTCCAGTTGGACTGGGATTCCTGGAAACTGGTTTATTGACAAGCATGGCTGAGACCTGAGAATTAGCAGCATGGTTCCCTGGAATGACCCTGAAGGAATTACATTTGAGTGCCAGACAAAAGATATGGTATACTACAGAATATTGGTAACCTCGAAGTCACTGTCTATGATGGCTTGATATACTGCTGCAAGCTGACAGAAAATTTGAAACACAGTGAGCCCTGGGTGGACAATTGCAGTAAAGAGCTGTCAGATGAACCTGTGGTGATGCATAAGCCAGCAAGTGCATGGCTTAACTCTGAGGCTATGTTTCTCATTATCCCTTTTGTTAAATGTTACACACGTGAGTTTAATGTGGAACCAGAGTGAACTTGCAGTGTAAAAATGTAGGCTTCAGAGTCCTAAAGGTAATTTACCCCAACTGGAGTTAAAACACGTCTTTTTTTTAGTGATTAATTTTCATGCTGTGTCTGAGTTAGCATGCCAACTGCACTGAGTGAAAATTCCAAGAAAAAGCATTGTCTTTTCAGCATAAATTTGCATCGCAGCATGGCAAATATTTTAACATTCCCAACTGAGTTACATCTCAAGATGTCTTAGTGCAAAGGTGAATTTAGACTCTGTTCTGCGTTTAAGTTGAAGAACATAAAATGATAAAGGCTTTGAAAATTTGGAGATGAGAAGAGCAGGTAGGCATACATAAATGAAAAATTATTAGTTAGCCAGTCATTGAAGTTAGTATCTGGGTGTTCTTCGCCTTGTAAATCTTGTCTGTTACAAGTAATTTAGGAGAGGATCTTTTATTTTGGGACGCTCTATAGTTTTCTTGATATCTGAATACACTCAGCTTAACAGAAGAGTAGTAAATGGCATTTGTTGCTGTATTTGCACTGAATGCATCCGTGCAGAAAGCTGTTGTTCAAAATGGGTTTCTAAGCAGTTTTAGCTCTTTCAATTTCAGCATCCATAAAATGCTTTTAATTGGCCTAACAAGTTACATTTTAGTACCATCTGCTGATACTTAAGGCATGGATGAGGCATGTACTGAATCATATTGTTAACCTGTGTACATTATAGTCTGTGCTTGAGCAGTCTCTCTTATTTTCCCCTATTTTCCTGCTTTTCAGAAAAGATTAACAGAATTCTGCAATAAGGTCCAAGGTTCTGTTAAATTGCCAAAAGGAAAAAATCAAGGCTTCTTTTTTTCTTTTTTTTTTTCCCTTTGATTGCATTTATGTGCTAACACATTCATGAAATACACTGACCCTGATTCAGTATCCTAATTTGCTGTGCTCAGGAAGCAGGCTCTAAGGTATATGGTTGCGCATTTCCATTATTTTGGTTTTGAACAGTTGTATGTTTGTTGTTGTGCGATGAAAGCTGTGTCCCCTCCAGCTTAGCAAGTGTGTTAAAGAATTACTTCCTCTGCAGGAGGTTTATCTGATTACTGTTTCGTCATGTCGCTATATAAGAGTGTTTCTGAAATTCTGTTAGTAATTTCCCTCCAGTAAGGCAGTGTATGTGACTGCTTGATTATACAAACTGCATTTTGTTTTTGTGTGTGTTTATATATGTCATAGGTAATGTGGTCTGGCTTGATGAAGTAACAGCAACACGGGCTCTAATAAATATGAGTTCCTTGCCTGATCAGGAGAAAACAAAAAGCAGAGAAAACAATGAAGAGAAGACAGCTGAAAAAAACAAGAAAGGTAGATTGAGATACGCATATATAGACATCATCTAGTTAAATCAATGAAACTTTAAACTTGTGCTTGGGTACTGCATAATCTAAATTACTGAAGGAGCTTCTATCATATAGTTTCAGGTAAATGTATTCTGCCACTTTAAAAAAGGCTTTCATCTTGGAAACCTTTTGAAGAAGCTGCTTCTTAAAAGGTGGGTTGGAGCTAGACCAAAAGCAGTAATTCAGTCGATACTGAACATGTTAGATGCAGGGTCATATTCAGATATGTTTATAGTGGTACATGCTGCACAGAAATAAGTCTGTGTGAGGTGTGTACAAAGGCAGTAAAAGGATGGCTTCTAAGTGTGGAAAAAGCAGATATAAGAAAATGTTTTATTTTTTAAATACCACAGTTATTACTTTCTTGATACACCACCATCCTTTAAGTATATCGTTCACACTGACGTGACAGTATGTCGCTTTACCACTGTGTATATCATCTGTAAATTTGGCTATTATACTTTCAAGAAAGAAGTGCACTGAAAAGTCATTTATAAAAGAGCAAAGCAGTGAAAAGTACATATAATGTTGTGATGTCTGGTACCTGAATGCCTTAATTGTAAATTTATTTTACTTTTAAGGGTGTAAATTAAAAATTGGGCTGTGCTACCGTAGGACTATTTTGCTGTTAGGCTGGTGTGACAAATTGCTGTGGTTCAAAGTACTGTACCACGCAGTAGAAAGCAAAGGTAGATGTTGTATTTATTAACTCTTCTATAGATTTTGCTTAAACATGCTGTGTGAACAAAATGCAAATAGCCAATCTCGCTGTTAGATATTTGCAGTGCTACCAAAAGCCTTTCTAGAAAGTTTGGGTTTAGGGCTTTGTTAAACTTGTGGATCCTTCTGACTCATTCCCTTTTCTTCTTGTTGCTTTTCTCCACAATGCAGTGGCTCCTCAACAATCCATGTGACTTTAATTTTTGGGCAAATGTTGATAATGTTTCAAGTAAGACTTGTTATGAAGTTTTTGGAGATTAGTGATTGTCTTGTTTAAATGGAGCATAAATATATGTATTTAATCTTGTTAGCTGCAAATTACATATTACATCATCATTGCACCACATCTCAAAATAAAAGCTGTCATCTAAATTACTCCTGTTCATCTGGAAAAGTGGGATCAAGTACAAACTGTTCAGTTACATCTTAAGGTGTGAGATGCATACAGATACACTGGAGTAATCTGGCTTAGTTGCATTCCTTTTTTAGATAGGAATTTGAGGGCTATTTAGGCATTTAGGGAAGCAAGAGACTAGTCTTACTGTGAGAAGTGTAACAAGCGTATCATTGCGGGTGAAAAAGTGCTTGAATGGTGTCCCTGATGGAACTTCAAACTCAGGTTTGAATTTGGCTCATTTGATTACTTAAATTCTCTCTTTGGTTTCAGTTTGATTAATTGTGCTTTACTTTTTCCTTTTAACCTGGGTATATTTTCAGGATCTTTTGAACAGCTACTGCTGTCTATTTTAAGTTTTCAAGTTTATTGTTGGATGATATTAAGATAAGGAACTCTGAAATACAAAAGAGGAGGGGTTTTAGTCTTGCGTCTATGAAGTACTTTGAGATCTTTGCAAATGATACTGGCATATGTTGAGAGCTGTCCATATTCACTACTTTTTTTTTTTTCAGTCCTCAGAGGGAAAAAAAAAAAATCCAGTATCAGTTTACTTACTCTGAGAACCCTGAAAAAATCTATGCAACCATCTCACAATTTTAGTAGTTCTGGAAGCATGCACTCTTCTGTTAGTTATTTCACTTCAAAATTAAGTCACCAAGGTTGGGTTTTTTTTCCTCCTGCTCTCTGTCAGGAACTTCTAAGCTTTTGAATAATAACCTGGTTTACATTGTTAGTACTGGATATTGGTAGGTACTTGCAGCATTTTAAAGGGAGGCTTTTATATGCCTTTTACAGTCTTGGCCCTTCTGATCTCTGTCATACTCAGAAATGCAGTGCAATTTCATTTGCTTTCAAAGAATTAATAGTCCATGTGTGCTGCTGCAGGCAGTTATCTGCACAGAGGCTGTCTACTTAATGTTTTTCTGTGCTCATGCATGCTTCAAATTTCTGTAGACTTTTACTGTTTTGATTATTCTCTAGGCTGCACAGAAGAAAGGATAACACCTTCGGTTTGATTTCAGAGAATGTAGGTAAAAATAATCTAATGTGACTGACACACTAAAATGGGGGTTAATTTTTTTCCCAATTATTTTCCTTCTTAGAAAAACAGGAGGAAAGTTCTGACGATGAGACAGAAGAAGGCGAGGTTGAGGATGACAATCCAAGTGACGTTGAGGTCAGTACAAAGGAAATTGAACACACTGTTATGGAAGTTTTGCTCTGACTGATATGAAGTCTTTATAACGTTATGGTTTTAACCACATATATTTGCAATTCACAATTTAATTATCAAAGTAAATTAGATGGGGAAATGACAGGAAGTGCAGATATGTGGTTGGTGAGAATAGCTATGTAAGAGTGTTTTGTGAAAGTAAATTTTGAAGAGTGCTAGGGCATCCAGCATGTAAGAGCTAGACTGGCTGCAGAGAGGGGGCAATGAAAGAACAATAATGGAAGGCAATGGCCTTTCAGCAGTGAAGGCAGTGCCTGAAGAGACAAATAGGATTTAGGCTGCCCATAGATATGTGTGGGAATCAGCATATGCATTGATGTTTTGTAAGTAATTTAATCTCCACTGGCTGAATATGTAATAGTTGTGATTAGTATTTTCTTTAGGAATGGCTCAGTGAACACACATATATCATGGAAGTCTGAATTTTAGTTTCGATAAAGCAGATATAGTGAAAAAAAAAAAGCCTTTTAGTTATTGTGTGAGGGCATGAGAACCTGTTAGTAAAAACATTTAGATATGAAACCAGCAAAAAAAAAAATCAAATAGTTGTTTTTCAGTGTCCAAGTTGTGCTATTTATTTTCTCCATTTCAGTCAGTAGCGTAGTGTCATTTGAAAATTACTGGTTTTAATAATCTGAGATTATGGTATGAAGGAAGAGAAGGAAATATTTTAAATCTTTAGGGCAAATTACTTTAAAAATTCACATTAGTTTGTTAAGAAAAAAGCAGAGTGCATTTGAACATCATTTGAAAAGTAACTTTCTTAATAATCAGTTGATTGCTTCTCTGGGAGCAATCCATTTTCATTCAACAGTAATTTTATTTTTGAGTCCAAAATACCTTTTTTGCCCCCAAAGTTGGATGCCCTCTCCCAGGTAGAAGAGGATTCTCTCCTGCGTAATGATCTTCGCCCTGCCAATAAACTGGCTAAAGGAAACAAGCTATTCATGAGATTTGCTACTAAAGGTAAATGACAGCTTAACAAGCATAATGAATTAATCGCTTGTTGTAGGTTTCTTTGTTGACTTGAAGTACCTAATTTTCATTTACAGAACTGTTAGGTTTTTTGCTAATCATTAGGTATTAAGATTTTGCAATAAATCCACATTTGACATGTGAATTAAATCCAGTTCAAGTTGTATGAAAATTATCATACGTAAAAATTTTATCTTGGGCTCAGGGCATTCTTCCCAACGCCATAGTATAGGTTTTCTGATGCCCTTCTCCATTTAATCATTTAAGATGCTGATGAGGTATCAGTGGAAAGTATTGCTAAATACAGCTGAGAGATTAAATTATATTTATGACTAAAATGAAAATCCGTATTATTTCTGGGCCATGTGGCAAGTGACACATCCATAAAGAAAAGAAAGGTCGTGAATAAGGTAAGTATGGCCTCTGGCAGTTACAGTGGGATGTAATGCTCTGCTAAGCTGATACGTAGAAACTCAATCTCCCTAGAATTAAGTTTCTAGACACAAATAAAACTGTGGTGGTAAGAGAAATTTCAGAGGTGTCGGCAAAATTGTGTCCTTCATGAAGGAGGTTGAAGTAATGCTGATCTGAAAGACATTCAGTCTTACTTTCACTCTCTGTGTCTTTGACTGGATGGTTATTTATGACTATGTTAGTGTTGTAAGGTATGCTCTAAGAGGAAAATATTCCTTTAATTTATGTTTTTTCAGATGACAAAAAAGAGCTGGGAGCTGCAAGGAGAAGCCAGTATTACATGAAATATGGCAATCCCAATTATGGAGGCATGAAGGGGATTCTTAGCAATTCTTGGTGAGTATTAGATAGAGGAGTTGGAACATTGCAGGTAATTGGACAAGATAGTCTAAAACTGGTTTAGTTTGTGGATTTTCTTTCTATTCAGTTTATGTAGATGCTTCCTATGCGTAAATAATGTTTTTGCAATGTGACTATGAATTTGCAAGGGGAGTATTTTCTCATGAAAGTAACAAATGTTTCTATTCAAAACATCCAGAACAGATCTCTGACATAAATGTACGTCTGCTCTTAAAGTGAGTGATAATTGCATATTCTTAGTCCAGGATTGAATATGGCTCATTCATGATGCCTTTTCTGTCACATTCATGTCATTCTTTTTATGGTGTTTCAGGAAACGAAGATACCATTCACGTCGAATCCATCGGGATGTGATAAAGAAAAGGACACTTATTGGGGATGATGTTGGCTTGACTCCTCCTTATAAACATCGTCATTCAGGTAATAGATGCCAATGCGTCGACCCTGTGAGAACACAACTGGGAATGGAGGGCTGGAAAGGACCTTAAACAGTGCCTCATGTAATCCCCTGCAGTGTGTGAAAGTGAAGTGTACTCTTAAAAAAAAAAAAAAAATAAACGAATCACATTTTAAGAGTTTGCAGGGAACGACTGAGGCAGAAACTTCACACTGCTCATTGGCTTACCAAAATAGCTGCTGCTTTTGATGCATTCTTTTTCTTCTACAAATTCCAGACATGGGGGCTATGGCATGAAGGGCAAAAAGAAGACATAATTTCTTTAAACTTCTTGGCAATTTGTCGTACTTACTATGTCACTTTCCATTCTATGAAAAAGCAAGCTCTAGATATAGAACAATAAAGATTAGAAAATTCTATTAATTAGGCTTGAATATCTTCATCTACTACCTAAGGTAGGGTGTGTGCATTAGAAAAATAATTGGTGTCAAAATCTTTGATGCGAGACAACTGCAGTGTCAAAGTTTCATGAGTGGCCTGTTAAAAATACAGCCATGGATGTATCAAATCTCATGGAAGATTTTGCATGTTGATAATGTACTTCTTGCTGAAAAGATGCTTGCACACTGCTGATTACTATGTTTAAGTTGTTGATTTATATTTAAATCAGTATATGTGATAACTTCGTACTAATGAGACGTGTTCTTTTTGGCATTACTGCTTGCAGGACTTGAAAGGATTATTGCGGAGGCAGCAGTTGTCACATTAGGCCCTGCAAGATCTTAGGAATTGTTACGTTCAGGAAGTATGAACTGCAGCTACTATGAGAGGCAGTTGTGCTTTTATATATTCAGTCCAGCTTTATGCTTGAGCAAGCTTCTGAGATAGTGAACACCATGGACTTTTTTTTCTCCTGTGGTGATTTTCTTCCACTTAGGCTATTCTGTAATATAGATTCCACTTAGAATATTTTGCAAAATATCCTCTCTCTTTAGTCTTGGAGAACTACAGACACTCATTTGTAGTGGATTGTTAATTACAGTGATTTTTTTTTTTATTTATTTATTTTGCCTTGGTTTTAAGGTACCTTATATGAATGATAAACTTCAGTATATCAGAATGTTTGTTTTGCTACAGGCTTAGTAAATGTTCCTGAGGAGCCTATTGAGGAGGAAGAGGAGGAGGAAGAAGATCAGGATATGGATGAAGATGACAGAGTTGTGGTAGAGTACCGTGATGAACTGCAAGCTTTCAAACAGTCCCGAGACCGCAGTGCAGCAAGACGATCGAGTGCTAGTGCATCTGATTCTGATGAAATGGACTATGATCTTGAACTGAAAATGATATCAACACCTTCTCCCAAAAAGAGCATGAAGATGACAATGTATGCAGATGAGGTGGAATCACAACTGAAAAATATTAGGTAAAAGTTTCTTATTCTTTAAAAGTACCAGTGAAAAGGCATTCTAAATTTTAATTAGTGACAGAGCTGTCAAAGCTTAAAGACAAACTGTTGAAGCTACTTTTTCAATTCTTAACATAAATTTGTAATAGATGTTTTAAAAAGAAATAGAAAATACAGGAAACAGTGATACAGGCTTTTAATTACAATTGACATTTTTTATTACCAGCTTCCTTTGCAGATTTTTGTAACCCTCCTTATTGATAGTAATGAAGCTCCGTGGCATCAATAGAAATTAATACAAGCAAGCACAATTAACTTCTTGCTAGGCCGGGGAGAAAGAAATCCTCTTTTCCCTTTACCCCTTCCTCTTTTCTCAGAAAGAAGATTAACCCTTAAGTGTTGATGACAAAAAGGAATTTATGTTCTTTATGGGCATATTAACCAAAATTGCATGTACTTTATTAAAATACTATTTTAATAACTTTAATATTATTATTAAAATAACTTTAACATGCATCCCTTCAGTAGTCTGATTATACTTCATTATAATGTCAAGTCCTTTAACAATTTTGAGGCTGTTTATCTGCTCTCAATTTTGACCCAGAAGCACAGCCTTAAGGAGACAAACTCAATACCTGCCTTGAAATGGATACTGAGGTATTCATGTGATTATTGCTAAACTTGGGATTCTGACTGGAACACGTGCTCTTCTATGTAACGTCTTTACCTCTGTTTCTCAGTAAAGAAATCCTGATATTACTGTTTTCTATGATGTGATTTTACATAAAAGAAGACTTAAGAACTATACTCAATTTCATTTCATTTAAGGGACATGAAATCTATTATTATTTTATTTAGGAATTCCATGCGAGCAGATAGCATAGCAACCAGTAACATCAAAAATCGGATTGGCAGTAAAGGATCATCAGAGAAAGTTGCAGATGTAAGACTACTGTTAGAAGAAAAACGTCAGAATAATACTGGGCCACGTCAGCCAAACAGCACTGTAAAATCAGGTAATCTTAAGCTCTTAAATTGTGCAGAATTGTGACTGGCTCATTAAAATCGATATATTAATTTCACATCTTGCTCCACTGCAACTTATAAACCTGAGGGAATTCTGTTCAGCAGCAGTTTCTGCATCCATACATTTTTCCTGGCTAAGAGACTGACTGAGTTGAGGATTGCTTTGGGGAAAAGTGAAGTACATTTGAGTGAGACTGTGGTGTTTATTTTTGTTTCCCCCACACACACACTTTGTCCTTTTTGATTTGTTCAAGCAGAGATTCTGGATGATTCTGAGAAACGTGTGGGTGGGTTCATATACAAAATGAAATGTGAAACACTAGCTGCTTACATGAAAGAACACGTATTACGTGAACATGGACGTATTTTTCAATTGGCAGGGTTTATTTTGGGGCTTCATTTTTGCTTTTTTGACTCGGGTATATGTAATTTCAACTACTTCCGGCATACGTAGTATACAGAGGATTATCTGACTGATAAGTGAAAGATATATTTTTTTTGTATCAATGTAATGTGGAAGTTATGTTAGTATATTCTACCCCTCCTGCATGTTTTGAGGCGCTGACAAGTTGGCATATAAATCCTGTAACTTCCTTTGCTTTTATGTTTTTGTTTGAACCCTCTTTAAGACCAAGAATATCAAGCTAAACTAGACAAACTTCAGAATGCAAGACTTGCATCATGGATTCAGTATCAATATATTTAGGATTCTTATATTCTCTTTGTCATTTTATTCTGCAAAATATCAAGTAGTATTGGAATTCTAAAGCAAGGTAACTGTTATCCAGTGCCGTTGTTGAAGGCATACCAATTTTTATATAATCATACCTTATGCTTGATACGTACATGCTGTACTGCTAAAACAGAAATGTGGCAAACCATAGAATAACTTACTTTTTTGATCTTCTGGACATAGCACAACCTGAAAACGTTAAATGTCAAATTTACTGCAAAAAAAAAAAGAAAAATGAAATCTGGATAAATTCTATTGCAGACATTGCCAGGACTGAAATCTGTGTATGAAAGACTTAATGAAAAGACTCCAGAAAAGATGAAAAACAGAGAATCTCTGTAGTTTTCAAGTTCTTCAAATTGTGCAATGATCATAAAATTAGCTGGCAGAACTAAAGTAAATGCATCATGATTTTTGTCATTTTAATCACTGAAAATACCCCTAGATGTGCGGCAAAGACTGGGAAAAAGACCACATTCTCCAGAAATCAAACCTCCAAGTAGTACCTCTGCTCCTCGTCGAGAGCCAATATCAGATGTACACAGCCGGTTAGGAATCCCCAAACAAGATGTAAAAGGCCTCTACTCTGATACCAGAGAGAAGAAATCAGGTTAGTTTTATGGAGAAACTGTAATACTGCGATGCCCTTGGTTTTAGAGTATAAGAGAAATTTCAGCAGAAAATCATGAAGGATGTTCAGTTGAGTGAAATTAAAGATGAATTAGCAAACGTTTGTTTGAAATCTAAATACATGCAGGTAGTTTGAGCTGAGTATTTTTATGAGCAATATTTTTATTTAGGTATGCTTAAAAGTACTACTTAAAAGACTACTTTAAAACTGTGGTCAAAACAAGGCACTAAAACAAGGGTAATGAATGCAATGGTGCTTCAGACCTGTGAGTAGCATTCTCTGCAAATGGGAGGTGGTGAAAGGACTGCACTGAGCCTCCCATATTTTAATTTCAACTGCTGCTCCAAAGTGTAGTAAGTTCCATGTCAAACATTAAGGTGGGAGGAGTACAAGGAGTTTAAAGAGGTGCAGTGAATTTAAGACCGGGTTCCTGAGAATTCTTTCAGAATTCTTCTTAGTCCTGCCTTTTTTTAAAAAATGTTTGTTTTTCATCTGATTAGGTAATTTATGGACCCGATTAGGGTCTGCTCCGAAGACACAAGAAAAGACTTCAGATAAACCTGAAAACTCTGTGGCATCTCCAGAGGAAGATGATTCAGAGCTACAGCGGGTTTGGGGTGCTCTCATTAAGGAAAAAGAACAGTCTCGGCAAAAAAAGAGTCGATTGGATAATTTACCATCTCTACAAATTGAAATCAGCCGAGAAAGCAGTTCTGGATCAGACACTGAATCATGATTGTTTTTACATTCTGATCCTCAAGATTGTGACTCTGCAGTGTGGCAAGATTTCCTTTGCCCAAAAGCTGGACACTGGCAAAGACTCTGCAGTGAAGGTTCCAGAAGTGTCTCTGTTCCTTTTATACAAAAATAGAGATGCATATACCACTTGAAACCTAAAGCAATCACGTTTGTCTGGAGTCTGTGGTTGGCCCTGTGTTACGTAGGGCGTTGTCATACATGTTTATTACAGCAAACCTGTAGTTAATTCTAGGAAAACGCTTTTCCCCAAGCTTTGAACTTAAAAGAAAGGGCAGAAATGCTCTGTATTTTTAAGATGACCTTTTTGTTCTTAATATTTTTAACATGGAGCCTTTTAACAAAATATTTTACACAGTTCATCCAAAGAACAGGGCATTTCATAATCAGCGTCATTGCCTTGCCCTTCTGGCTCTTACCAGCACCTTTCCTTTCCTCTTGAAGTAATAACGATAATGCTTCCTGGGTAGGCAGCCAGCAAGGATAAAGCATGAAGGGACCATCATGTTCCCTTCCTCCAAAATACTGAATGTAAATCGAAGTTACGTGTTTTAGTACAGTGAAATTTCACATAGTACCCAAGTAGCATCACTGCTCTCGAGGAATTCTGCTCGTTTATTTTGGTGAGACTATGTTCTGCTGTAGTAGGGATTGAGATGTTCAAGACTGCAAAGTTGGATGTTTGAGAATTATGTAAATTCCCAAGGGTTTAATTTTTGTTATGTGATGAGAAATTATATTTCTTTCATTTTATCTGTATTATGTTTTGAAGAAATCTAACAATTTGAAAACATACACTTTTATATTTGTGAGAATTTTCCTGTTGGCCACGGTGAAAGCTATAGTGGTGTTTTCCTACGTGCTGTTTAACTATATATATATATAAAACTGAGAAAAAAGAAAAACTATAGTATTACTGTCTCATGTCAATATTTTTGAATGTTCTTATTGTATAGTACGTGTGGATGTTACACATGCCTGACTTGTTACACTCAGCTTTTTTACCTGCGTACCTTCTCTAGGTAGGAAAAAGGTTTGACCAGTGTGCAGCTGTAATTTTTTCTTGTTGCCTATGGCATTTATTTTGATTGCCAATAATTCGGAATAAGGAATAATGCTTGTACATCACAGAACGGAACAGATAGCAAAACCATTGTCTGCTACATTTTGACAGGCTGAAAATTTGTTTGTATTGTCCCTTTTTCCTAGGTTCTGTCAGTCCAAAAGGTCTATGAATATCTCTTCCCATTGCTGCTTTTTAACAGATGTTTTAATCTTTTTTCCCCCTCTATTTTTGTACTAAGTTCAAGTAGGTTTGAGGCTTCACAAAAGCAAGGAATCTGCAATTAACTTTTTTTACTGGTTTATCACATGTAAGGATAGCAGCATGTAAAATTCAAGGTAAAAATGAAAGGTGCAGTGACTAGAAGGGCAATCTGGGGACTGACTGGGCTTCAAGCCTTATTATTTCCTTGTTTTGTGACACTCATCCTTGATTTGATATTTAATTATTGAATATATAAATATGTCTCATAAAAGTACTGTTGAGAGTAAATGACTGCAATGTCTGATCACTGTAATAATTCATTTTAGTGTGTGCTTTCATTAATATCCCTTCCAAAGCTTTCAAATAGAATCATACCCAAACTGTACTAATTTCTCAAGATCCTGATGAAATTTAACCAGTGTCTTTTTGCCAGTAAACCTTTGTATTGGATCCATTATGGCCTTTCATTTTCCTGATACGACTCATGCACCTGGTCTGTGAAGACGGGCTTCTGCACTCTTGTGAATCTTTGCATGTTTTTTAGCTCAGCAACTGGCTGTGGTCTGCTGTTAATGTTGCTGATGACCACTGTGTTTCCATGTAAATATTCATAATGCGAGCCTGATGAAGGACAGACTGACTGGTATGAAGGATGGAATGGGAATCTCTGCAACTGATACTAATGGATGTGTGGTCTGAACTAATGGATGTGTGAAAGCAAGAAAGGAAGAGGAGCCATTAGCACAGGTTCTGTCTTCCAGGTAGTCATAAATACGCCGTACAAGTGCTGCCTTGTTAGTCGGGTCTGTCGTGTTTATGATTTGGGGGAAGGGTTATGTGTGTTAATGAGACATGGTAGCTTAGCTGCGAGAAAAATAGAGGTTTACTGTCAAAGGGACCTATAGAGAGTTTTTTGTAATTGAGTGCCTGGTTTTGCTTTTTGATGATGTACAGAGAAGCCTTGAAAAGCGCTTGCTGGTATCAGGAGTTCTGGCTTTGGTCTTCCTTAGTTAGAACGTGAACTGCTGGGGTTTGATAATTAAAAATGATCACTGAATCTTTAGTGAATGCTTTTTCCTCAACGTGGTTAACTTAAATCTATTTGACCTAGAGAGAGATTGCTTAGAGAATTTTGTTGTAAGTCCCCTTCCCCTTATGAGGCCAGGCTGAGAGAGTTGGCCTTGTTCAGCCCGGAGAAGAGAAGGCTGCGGGCAGACCTGATTGCAGCCTTTCAGTGCTTAAAGGGGGCCTATAGGAAAGAGGGGGACAATCTTTTTAGTAGGGCCAGCTCTGACAGGACAAGGGGTGATGGTTTTAAACTAAACCAGGGTAGGTTTAGACTGGATATAAGGAAGAAATTCTTTCCTATGAGGGTGGTGAAACACTGGCAGGGGTTGCCCAGAGAGGTAGTGGAGGCCCCATCCCTGGGAACATTCAAGGCCAGTTTGGACGGGGCTGTGAGCAACCTGATCTGGTTAAAGGTGTCCCTGCTCACTGCAGGGGGGTTGGACTAGATGACCTCTAGGGGTCCCTTCCAACCCAAAACATTCTATGATTCTCTGTGCAGTCAGCTGTTCTGCTCTTAGCTCACGAGTTCTTGATCTTTCACTGCACTCCCAGGTATTATGACCTTCAAGGAATTTGATGCAGAAATTAATGTTCTAATACCGAGACATGCAACCGATGTATTTTACTAAAATGACCTTACGTTGAAAATTGCAAGATGGAGAAATTTGGCTTTGGCTTTTGGAGGATCTATGCCTCAGAGGAAAAAATGTTTCTGAATTTTGGGTGACTTGCTATAGGACCACACTAGCCCTCCTTCTGGGAAGTTACTGCTGTTTTAAAAAGGTGGGTTTTGGTAAATGGTTCAGGTGCCTTACATTGTGCAGAAGAAATAGTTGTGGGGGCTATGGGCTCTGTGCCTGCCACTGTCCTCTGGCAGACTCTGAACGTGCGGCATTGATGATGGCGAGACTTGAAAGTGAGGGTTTGATTTTTGGAGGGGTTTTGGGGGGTTTGGTTTTTTTTTTTTTTGATGATGGCCGCTGTGTTTGACAGAAGGAAAGCAAAAACCACCTTATTTTCCGTTCACGATGACATTATTATGTGAAAATAATGAAACTTTTATTTAAGCTGTTCTACTCCCAATAAAAGTGGTCTGAAATCACACTGACCTATCCGGTTTTGCTGGCGCACAGGCCGGTGCCGCGCCTCTCGCTGAAGGGCCTGGGGGTGCTGCCCTGCGTGGGGCTTGTGCCTTCCTGGGGGCAAGATGCGGGTCCCCTGCTTCGAGCTGTAGCTTGTCCCAGCCCAGTCTTAATGAACCCACTTTCCTGCTTTCAACCGAGTAGAGGGGTGCCTAAAATTCGGGTCCTGTGGGCCTGGCGA